CGTATTGTGAGTCTTTCATTGTTTTCCCTGTTATTTTCTAATAGCCTCTGTTTTGTTTTCTAAAACTAATGGCCAGTGTTTTATGTTCATTTTAGGATTCGGGATCAAAAGCACTTAAATCTCATCGTTCAACTCTTGATTCAAGATCAAAGGCGCTCAAATCGCATTTGCTTCATATTGAGACTTTCATTCTTTTCCCTGTTATTTTCTAATAGCCTCTGTTTTGTTTTCTTAAACTAATGGCTAGTGTTATATGTTAATTATTGTAGGATTCGAGATCAAAGATACTTAAATCTCATCACTCAACTCCTGATTCAAGATCTAAGGCACTCAAATCTCATTCAAAATGTGATTCTATTCCGAGCAGTGAACCTGTTATAATGGTAAAATCAGGAGTGAATATTCTTTACAAAGAGGATGGGCAAAATCAGGCGGATGTACGCAATTTTATCATGAGGTTGACGGGTGTGAAGTACCTCTATTTGTCGACTGATGCTATACTGGTAAAATATAACATCAAAAACTCATGATAAAATTGCGTACGTCTGCCTGATTTTGCCCATCCTCTTTGTAAAGAATATTCACTCCTGATTTTACCATTATAACAGGTTCACTGCTCGGAATAGAATCACATTTTGAATGAGATTTGAGTGCCTTTGATCTTGAATCAAGAGTTGAGTGATGAGATTTAAGTGTCTTTGATCTCGAATCCTACAATAATTAACATAAAACACTAGCCATTAGTTTAAGAAAACAAAACAAAGGCTATTTGTCGACTGATGCTATACTGGTAAAATATAACGTCGAAAACTCATATTCTAAGAATAGAATTAGTTATTTTAGTACATTTTTCTCATACTCTCTTTTAATATTTTCACGAAGGCTGCATACCCTGATCCCTTAAGTTCCGTGTTGAAATATGTGACGACTTTGGAACTGAAGGTGGATGATTCCCGAATATTGCCAGGCATCCTTGAAAGGGCTTCCCAACTTGAGAAGCTGGTCATTAGTTCGGTGAGAAACATTTGTTTTATAGATTAGGAAGCAAATATTAAAATTTTAACATGCTAATTTTTTCTTCAACAGTATGATAAGTCTCCAAGGAATAGAGCTCCAATTCCTTGGTCAGTCACTGAGCAGTATGATAAGTCTCCAAGGGATATAGCTCCAATTCCTTGGCCAGTCACTGAGCCTTCGTGTTTGGCATGCCTCAGGAGGATTGAGTTTGGCGTATTCATTAACACAATAGAGGAAATGCATCTGATTGAATACCTTCTAAAGCATGGGAGGATGCTGGAAAAGATGGTATTTTGTGGAGTACGAAGCATAAATTCAAGTACTAGTGCAGTAAAAAAAAAAAATCAAGGGATTCGCTAGATGTTCAAAGTACCCTTTTGTGTTCAAGTATTAGGAAATTTGGATGACACACATTTCTAGTATTCCATAACGATCTGATCTTTCTAAGGCATTTAGTCGTATGTGCACGCTACAAATAAGTCCTTTGTAATAATTTTCCACATCTGTAGACACAATGTGGGAACGCACACAATAGACAAACCCTAATTGAACATAATTGCTTCTACATTGTTGGTTGGCTTAAATTGAGCTCTAATTAGATTTTTTTTTTTTTTTTTTTT